AAAGGCGCGTGGTCTTGGCCTTTCTCTCTCCTAAGCTCCAAGGGCCCTTCCTTTTTGCCTCTATAACTTGTCTCCTGAGCCCAGGCAGCCCAGCTGGCTCACCTTTTATACCTATTACTTTCTAAACAAACTTTCGCTTGTGTTTGGGGGAAAAAAAGAATTAACACACAAGAAAGGTATATTCACACACAAAGAAAATTATGATTACACACCTCCAGACTTTTCCATGCAGTTTTGGTTAAACTTTTTCAATCACACCGTACAATTTTGTATCGCATTGTTGTTGTTGTTTTTTCACTTAACATTATATATTAGCATCTTCCCATATTATTTAAAAGGTTTGTAAATTATCTTTATAGGCCACTTAATATTCACTCGGTGAAGTTGCATAATTTCCCTCACTGCGGAGACACCGGTTGTAGCCCACTTGAGCCTATCATAAATGACGCTTTATAAAGATCTTTATGCATAAAGCATTTTCTTCTTTTGGATGGTCACTTTAGGATATATTCCCTGAAATGTCATTCACAAGTCACGGGGAATACATTCACTCCTTTGGACGCACCCGCGGCTCCTCCGCATCCACTAACCCCCGCACGCCGGCCCCCACCGTTCTGCCGATCCTGCCCGCACGCCTGAGTGTCTTTCACCGTCTCCCACGGGCCAGCCCCTCCACCATCCACCCCGCGCACCCACAGGCTCCCCACACCCGCCAGGCTGGGCAACAGCGGACACAAAGCACCTTCGGACTCACTGCCCCGCAGTAAACCAGCTTCCCCGGATCCGCCCCAACTCACCCAACGCGGTTCCAAAGTCCGCAGCGGGTACCGGAAGCATCGACTCCAAGGCCTCTGATAGGTGAGATGGTCGGGGAAAGCTCGGGAACACCGCCAGCCTATTGGTTTTTATGTGTGTCGCGTTAGGAGAGGGTCTTTTCCACTGACCAATAAGCTCGGGCTTTGCCGCACAGATCTCTGGGAGTTGTAGTCCAGGTGAAACTCCCGACTGTAAGCCTCACGCAATTTCTCTTAAGAGGTTTAACGCCTTTCCCCACTTCTTATCGGTTCTCTTAGTCTAAGGAGTCCAGGGGCCCTAAAGTCAAGACGGTTTCTTAAGTATTTTTTGGGGAGATGGGGAGTCAGGGACGGGAAGGGGTTGAGGATCTATTTAAACTACAAAATTTCCTCAGAAAAATGTTGCGGGGTTTGTTTTTTTTTGAAAAATGTTCTTATCTGTACACAAAATATTGTGCATTCCATTGAAGCCACTCCACTGACCTGTTCCAGTTACACACCCCTGTTCTATACGTACCCCAAAGTGTTGGCCCATGGCCATATGGACTAATGTGTCACTAGGCTTCTTTAGACCGAGTTACACCCCTGGGAGAATGTCGGCCACACCTTGGAGCAGCCCGTGGGGGGTTTCAGATCCTGAGCCTCACAGAACAGTTGATCATCATCTTTCTTGGACAACACAGCCAATCCTCTTTCAACGACGCCGATTGCCTGCCGTCTCCTCCGTAACCCCGGGAGGATGGGGAAGAACACCGCCAGGGCCTCTCCGCACACCCTTGCTCAGGCTCTTCTCCCCAGGCCGACCTTGCAGCGCCACGTGTTAGAATCATACCTTCACATCATTGTTGGAACAATGTAGCCAAGAGTTAGAAACAAAAAATTTAAAGTTCCATTCCTTCTTTGAGCAAATGCTACTTCTTCCAAAAGTCTCCATAGACTCCTGGACCTCTTTTGGGTGGAGGAGGAACACAGGGTCGAACTCATTCATTCATCCCCCCCAGCGCGGATCGCTCCGCACTGTACGCGTCCCTACCCATCCCAGTTTTAGTTCCTCCAGGGCAGCGATTGTCTTCATGCAAATGGTTTCCCGGGATGCAGTTCTTTGGCTTGAAAGGTGGGAATCCATTTGTGCGTGGGGCAGAGCTGCCTGGGATAGTGAGTAGGAACTTAGAGTGGGTGGAGAAGGGTGGGCAATGAGCCTTCCTCCCTCTCACCCCACCCCACACTCGAGCTTGCGCGTGCAGAGCCAGGCAGCCCAGCTGGGGCAGGTCCCTCTCTGGTGCTTCCAAACGTTCTGAACCCCACGTCAGTGAGCCCCACTAGTTAGACTTGGTTTCGTTGCTGGCCTTCCCCTAGTGTGTGGGAGCAAGCAGATTCCCAAGAGATAAATCTGGGTTGGATGAAGGGATGGATATGCAGGTGAGCGGGTGGATGCGGGAAAGCCTGCGTGCCTCCCGCAGCATCCTCCCCGTCTGCGGATCCGTGCTCCTTCGCCTGGCTGGGCTCCAGAGCCGCGGGTCAGGGTCGCTTGCCCGGGG